GCTCACGCAGATGCAATGGCTGCTATTGGGTACACGGTCCAGACCTCCCCAGAGACCCTCGCTGGCTGAGAAAAAGCGACAGGCCCACTCTCATCGGCTACAGCATCCCACGTCAGAGAATGAGGAGGCTTACCGCAGCCTTCGCTCAGAAGTTAGGAGAGCCGTGAGGCGTTGCACGGATGGGTGGTGGTCGCGGGTTGCTGAGGAGATGGAATCTGCCTCAGTGGCCCACAATCAGAAATCGCTCTTTAATTCCATCAAAAAGTAACTTGCAGCGCCACACCTATTACCGTATTCAGATTTGCTGAGCATTTCTGTGAGATCGTGGGGGAGGGGAAATCCTTCAGCTTGGAAAACATCGTGAGACAAAGTGGGGATGACCCTGCTGAGGCTGCGGTACCTCAAATACTGGAAGAAGAAGTCACCCCCTGTGAGTGGCTGGCTGAGGTGCCATCTGTTGAGGAAGTACTGAAGGCGATCCAGAGTCTGGAACCAAGAAAGGCACCGGGCAAAGATGATCTCCCAAGCGAAATGCTGAGGGAGGGTGGAGTTTTTTGCACAGACTGCCCTACATGACATCATAACAACAGTCTGGACCACTGGATGGGTTCCGCAGGATTGGAAGGATGCCCTGGTGGTCGCCCTATTTAAGAACAGGGACCACACAGACTGTAACAACTACAGTGGATTCTCACTCCTCAGTGTGCCGGGAAAGGTCCTGGGCAGGATTATTAAACATTGCCTTGCCTCCGATGGCTGTACAGGAGGAATTTCTATCTGGTACAGATACAATGGGAGGCTGATCGATGCCCGGGTGCGGTCAAGGGATGGCTCCCTATTGCTCAACCATGTTATGTATGCCGATGTTCTGGTGATTGCTGCTCACTCAGAGGAGGATTTGGACGTGCTGCTGCTGAACCTGGAGCGTGCCACTATGAGGCGGGGCCTTACCATCGGCCTCACCAAAATGAATCACCTGCCTGGGTATTTTGTACCATCGGACACTCCACCCCCACAACTCCCAATTGGTGATGGGGCAGTTGTGGAGAGAGTGGAGAGTTTCCCATACCTGGGCAGTGTGCTTATGACCAGCTCCGATTTGACAGTAGAGGTCTCACTCCGAATCAGTCGATCAGCAATACCTTTTCATTGGTTGCGTAACGCTGTGTGGAAGCTACCTGGTCTGTCTCTCCACACGAAGCTTCAGGTCTTCTCGGCCACAGTCATTCCCTCCCTTCTCTACGCTTGCAAAACGTGGACCCCCCCTAATGGAACATCTTTGCCAGTTAGAAACATTTAGGCTGGCCTGCCTACAATCCATCCTGGGTTTAACCAGACTGGATTGTGTGAGGAGCTCACAAATCCTTGAAAGATCTGGGCAAGGTCCCATCGGTGAGCTCCTCCGGCAGGCAAGGCTGCGATGGCTGGGTCATGTAGCCCGCATGCCCAGCCACCGCATGCCCAGCCACCGCATGCCAAAACAGCTTTTGTTCGGCCGGATCGAGGGGGCTAAACTGGCGCGGCACGGGCTAGAGAAGAGATGGAGTGATGTGATACAGGAGGACGTGGAGCTGAGTGGACTTGCCGATGACCGGTACCAGCGGTGTCAAGATCGGCCTCTGTGGAGGAGGCTTGTGAAGGACGCCGCTACTGGACAGTTGGAGGCAGTCGCCCTCCAACAACAACAGTGGACGGAGGAGCGACGCTCACAACAACGAGCGGAGCGCCGGGCGGCTAAAGCACAGCAAGTTGGCACAGTAGGGGGCACAGGTGGTGCATCAGCCAGTCATCTCAGTCAGTCGACCCGTGGCACCTGGGTCTGCCCCGTGACCTCCTGCCGGCGGGCGTTCGACACTTCACGTGGCCTCACGGTGCACATGGCCTGGCACAAGCGTCGTGGTGACGTCACCGCCACTTAGTGGCGAATGGCGGTTGTTGTTGTTGTTGATCGTGGCAGTTTTGAAGATGATGGTGGCCACGATCGCGATGGCGATGTTCTCGATGGTCGAGATGACGACGGTAGTTGTGACGGTCACGCTGAAGACGGCGATGACGACGATGGCAGTGGTGACGGAGCGTGGTCACGGTCACGGTGACGATGGCGAAGCTGTATCCTACAGGAGGCGTCGAGAGTTCCAGTCCCAGCGGCTGGAGTCTCTGCTGAGCGAGGCTGGCGTGGAGGCGACGACGCCGCTGCTGCCCGTGGCACCCCGGGCGGTCTACAGAGCCGTGAGGGGGGCTGGGAGCCGCGGATACCCCCCATTCCTGCCTCTAGAGGTGACTGGGAGACACACAGAGACACACAGAGACAGAGAGAGACACAGAGAGAGACACACACAGACACACACAGACACACACAGACAGAGAGAGACACACACAGACACACACAGACACACACACAGACACAGACAGGGAGCCGCGGATACCCCCCATTCCTGCCTCTAGAGGTGACTGGGAGACACACAGAGACACACAGACACAGAGAGACACACAGAGAGAGACACACACAGACACACAGACACACACAGACAGAGAGAGACACACACAGACACACACAGACACACACACAGACACAGACAGGGAGCCGCGGATACCCCCCATTCCTGCCTCTAGAGGTGACTGGGAGACACACAGAGACACACAGAGACAGAGAGAGACACAGAGAGAGACACACACAGACACACACAGACACACACAGACAGAGAGAGACACACACAGACACACACAGACACACACACAGACACAGACAGGGAGCCGTGGATACCCCCCATTCCTGCCTCTAGAGGTGACTGGGAGACACACAGAGACACACAGAGACAGAGAGAGACACAGAGAGAGACACACACAGACACACACAGACACACACAGACAGAGAGAGACACACACAGACACACACAGACACACACACAGACACGGACAGGGAGCCGCGGATACCCCCCATTCCTGCCTCTAGAGGTGACTGGGAGACACACAGAGACACACAGACACAGAGAGACACACAGAGAGAGACACACACAGACACACACAGACACACACAGACAGAGAGAGACACACACAGACACACACAGACACACACACAGACACAGACAGGGAGCCGCGGATACCCCCCATTCCTGCCTCTAGAGGTGACTGGGAGACACACAGAGACACACAGAGACAGAGAGAGACACAGAGAGAGACACACACAGACACACACAGACACACACAGACAGAGAGAGACACACACAGACACACACAGACACACACACAGACACAGACAGGGAGCCGCGGATACCCCCCATTCCTGCCTCTAGAGGTGACTGGGAGACACACAGAGACACACAGACACAGAGAGACACACAGAGAGAGACACACACAGACACACACAGACACACACAGACAGAGAGAGACACACACAGACACACACAGACACACACACAGACACAGACAGGGAGCCGCGGATACCCCCCATTCCTGACTCTAGAGGTGACTGTGAGACACACAGAGACACACAGAGACAGAGAGAGACACAGAGAGAGACACACACAGACACACACAGACAGAGAGAGACACACACAGACACACACAGACACACACACAGACACAGACAGGGAGCCGCGGATACCCCCCATTCCTGCCTCTAGAGGTGACTGGGAGACACACAGAGACACACAGACACAGAGACACAGAGACACAGAGACACAGAGACACACACAGACACACACACAGACACAGACAGGGAGCCACGGATACCCCCCATCCCTGCCTCTAGAGGTGACTGGGAGATACACAGAGACACAGAGACACACACAGACACACACAGACACACACACAGACACAGACAGGGAGCCACGGATACCCCCCATTCCTGCCTCTAGAGGTGACTGGGAGACACACAGAGACACACACACAGAGACAGACATAGGCACAGACAGAGACACACACACACGCAGAGACACAGAGAGACACAGACAGAGACACACACAGAGACACAGAGACACAGGGAGAGACACACACAGACACACACAGACAGAGAGAGACACACACAGAGACACACAGAGACACACACACAGAGACAGAGAGACACACACAGACACACACAGACACACACACAGACACAGACAGGGAGCCGCGGATACCCCCCATTCCTGCCTCTAGAGGTGACTGGGAGACACACAGAGACACACACACAGAGACAGACATAGGCACAGACAGAGACACACACACACGCAGAGACACAGAGAGACACAGACAGAGACACACACAGAGACACAGAGACACAGGGAGAGACACACACAGACACACACAGACAGAGAGAGACACACACAGAGACACACAGAGACACACACACAGAGACAGAGAGACACACACAGACACACACAGACACACACACAGACACAGACAGGGAGCCGTGGATACCCCCCATTCCTGCCTCTAGAGGTGACTGGGAGACACACAGAGACACACAGACAGAGACAGAGAGACACACACACAGACAGAGAGAGACACACACAGACACACACAGACACACACACAGACACAGACAGGGAGCCACGGATACCCCCCATTCCTGCCTCTAGAGGTGACTGGGAGACACACAGAGACACACACACAGAGACAGACATAGGCACAGACAGAGACACACACACACGCAGAGACACAGAGAGACACAGACAGAGACACACACAGAGACACAGAGACACAGGGAGAGACACACACAGACACACACAGACAGAGAGAGACACACACAGAGACACACAGAGACACACACACAGAGACAGAGAGACACACACAGACACACACACAGACACACACACAGACACAGACAGGGAGCCGCGGATACCCCCCATTCCTGCCTCTAGAGGTGACTGGGAGACACACAGAGACACACAGAGACACACAGAGACACACACAGACACACACAGACACACACACAGACACAGACAGGGAGCCACGGATACCCCCCATTCCTGCCTCTAGAGGTGACTGGGAGACACACAGAGACACACAGAGACACAGGGACACACAGAGACACAGAGACACACAGAGACACACAGAGACACACAGAGACACAGAGACACACACAGAGACAGAGAGACACACACAGACACACACAGACACACACACAGACACAGACAGGGAGCCACGGATATCCCCCATTCCTGCCTCTAGAGGTGACTGGGAGACACACAGAGACACAGAGACACACACACAGAGACAGAGAGAGACACAGAGAGACACACACACAGACACAGACAGGGAGCCACGGATACCCCCCATTCCTGCCTCTAGAGGTGACTGGGAGACACACAGAGACACACAGAGACACACACAGAGACAGAGAGACACACACAGACACACACACAGACACAGACAGGGAGCCACGGATACCCCCCATTCCTGCCTCTAGAGGCGACTGGGAGACACACAGAGACACACAGAGACACAGAGACACACACACAGAGACAGAGAGACACAGAGACACACACAGAGAGAGACACACAGAGAGAGACACACAGAGAGAGACACACAGAGACACACAGAGACACACACAGAGACACACAGAGACACACACAGAGACACACAGAGACACACACAGAGACAGAGAGACACAGAGACACAGAGAGAGACACACACAGACACACGGAGACACAGAGAGACACAGATACACACACACAGAGACAGAGAGAGACACAGAGAGAGACACACACAGACACACACAGACACACACAGACTCACACAGAGACCCATAGAATCACACACAGACACATAGACTCACACAGACACCCATAGACAGGGAGCCGCGGATACCCCCATTCCTGCCTCTAGAGGTGACTGGGAGACACACAGAGAGACACAGCGAGAGACACAGAGAGACACAGAGACACACACACAGACAGAGAGACACAGAGACACACACAGAGAGAGACACACAGAGAGAGACACACAGAGACACACAGAGACACACACAGAGACACACAGAGACACACACAGAGACACAGAGACACAGAGACACACACACACAGAGACAGAGAGAGACACAGAGAGAGACACACACAGACACACAGAGACACAGAGACGCAGAGACACACACACAGAGACAGAGAGAGACACAGAGAGAGACACAGAGAGAGACACACACAGACACACAGAGACTCACACAGAGACCCATAGAATCACACAGAGACACATAGACTCACACAGACACCCATAGACAGGGAGCCGCGGATACCCCCATTCCTGCCTCTAGAGGTGACTGGGAGACACACAGAGAGACACAGCGAGAGACACAGAGAGACAGAGAGAGACACACACAGACACACACAGACACAGGCAGAGACACAGAGAGACACACACAGACACACACACAGACAGGGAGAGACAGAGAGAGACACACAAAGACACACACAGACACACACAAACACACACAGACAGAGAGAGACACACACAGACAAACACAGACACAGGCAGAGACACAGAGAGACACACACAGACACACACAGACAGAGAGAGACACACACAGACACACACACACGCAGAGACACACAGACAGACACACACATACGCAGAGACACAGAGAGACACAGACAGAGACACAGAGACACAGACAGAGAGGCACACACAGAGACAGAGAGACACACAGACACACACAGACACACACAGACACAGACAGACACAGAGAGAGACACGCACAGACACACACAGACATACACAGACACACACAGACACAGGCAGGGAGCCACGGATACCCCCATTCCTGCCTCTAGAGGTGACTGGGAGACACACAGAGACACAGAGACACACACACAGAGACACAGAGACACAGGGAGAGACACACACAGAGACAGAGAGAGACAGAGAGAGACACACAGAGACAGAGAGAGACAGATAGAGACAGAGAGAGACACACACAGAGACAGAGAGACACACACACACACACGCAGAGACACAGAGACACAGCGAAAGACACACACAGAGACAGAGACACACACACACAGAGACAGAGACACACTCAGAGACAGAGAGAGACAGAGAGACACACACAGAGACAGAGAGAGACACAGAGAGACACAGAGAGAGACACACACACAGACAGAGACACACACACACACGCAGAGACACAGAGACACAGCGAGAGACACACACAGAGACAGAGACACACACACACGCAGAGACACGGAGAGAAACAGAGAGACACACACAGAGACAGAGACACAAACACACACACACGCAGAGACACGGAGAGAAACAGAGAGACACACAGAGACAGAGAGAGACAGAGAGAGACACACACAGACAGAGAGAGACACAGAGAGACACACACAGAGACAGAGAGAGACAGAGAGAGACACAAACAGAGACAGAGAGAGACACAGAGAGACACAGACAGAGACAGAGAGAGACACACACAGAGACAGAGAGAGACAGAGACAGACACAGACAGAGAGACACACACACAGACAGAGACACACACACGCAGAGACACAGAGAGACACAGAAAGACACAGCGAGAGACACAGACAGAGAGACACACACACGCAGACACAGAGAGACACAGCGAGAGACAGAGAGAGACACACACACAGACAGAGAGACACACACACGCAGAGACGCAGAGAGACACAGCGAGAGACAGAGACAGACACACAGGCAGGGAGCCACGGATAGTCCCCATTCCTGCCTCTAGAGGTGACTGGGAGACACACAGAGACACAGAGACACAGAGACACAGACAGAGAGAGACAGAGAAAGACAGAGAGAGACACACACAGAGACTGAGAGACACACACATGCAGAGACACAGAGACTCAGCGAGAGACACACACAGAGACAGAGACACACACACACACGCAGAGACACAGAGAGACACAGAGAGACACACACAGAGACAGAGAGAGACAGAGAGAGACACACACACAGAAAGAGAGAGACAGAGAGAGACAGAGAGAGACACACACAGAGACAGAGAGACACACACACACAGAGACACAGCGAGAGACACACACAGAGACAGAGACAGAGACACACACACAGAGACACAGAGAGACACAGAGAGACACACACAGACAGAGAGACACACACACGCAGAGACACAGAGAGACACAGAGAGAGACACACACAGACAGAGACACACACACACGCAGAGACACAGAGAGACACAGAGAGAGACACACACAGAGACACGGACACACAGACACACAGAGACATAGAAAGACACAGAGAGAGAGACACACACGCAGATACAGAGATAGAAAGAGAAACACACACACAGAGACACAGACACACACACACAGAAACACACAGAGACACAGAGAGAGACACACACAGACACAGATATACATAGACACACACACAGAGACACAGAGGGAAAACACACACACAGAGACACAGACACACACACACATAGAGACACACACAGAGACACGCAGATAAACAGAAAGACACAGAGAGAGAGACACACACACAGAGACTGAGAGAGACACACACAGAGACACACACAGAGACACAGACACACACACACAGAGACACAGAGGGAGAGACACACACAGAGACACAGACACACACAGAAACACACACACAGACACAGAGGGAGAAACACACACAGAGACACAGACACACACAGAAACACACACCCAGAGACACAGAGATAGAGACACACAGAGACACACACAGATATTCTGGTGAGGCGACATGGGGGATCTTTGTCTTTGTCTCTCTGTGTGTGTCTGTGTGGAGATGTTTGACGATAAGAAGAGTGAGTTAGTGGGTGAGTGGGTGGGTGAGTGAGTGGGTGGGTGGGTGAGTGGGTGAGTAGGTGAATGAATGGGTGACTGAGTGGGTGAGCGAGTGGGTGAGTGAGTGGGTGAGCGAGTGGGTGAGTGAGTGGGTGAGTGAGCGAGTGGGATAGTGAGTGTGCGAGTGAATGAGCGAGTGGGTGGGTGAATGGTTGCGTGCGTGAATGAGTGAGTGGGTGGTTGAGCGAATGGGTGAGTGAGTGCGTGAGTGAGTGAATAAGTGAGTGAATGGGTGAGTGGGTGAGTGAGTGGGTGAGTGAGTGAGTGGGTGAGTGAGTGGGTGAGTGAGTGAGTGAGTGGGTGAGTGAGTGGGTGAGTGAGTGAATGAGTGGGTGAATGATTGCGTGAGTGAATGAGCGAGTGGGTGGCTGAATGAGTGTATGAGTGAGTGAGTGAACGAGTGGGTGGATGAGTGAGTGTGTGGGTGAGTGAGTGGGTGAGTAAGTGGGCGAGTGAGCGCGTGAGTGAATGAGTGAGTGAGTGGGTGAGTGAGTGGGTGAGGGATTGCGTGTGTGAACGAGTGGTTGGGTGAGTGAGTGAGTGTGTGAGTGCGTAAGTGCGTGAGCGACTGAGCGAGTGCGTGGGTGAGTTATTGCGTGAGTGGGTGAGTGAATGAGTGAGTGAATGGGTGAGTGAGTGGGTGAATGAATGAGTGGGTGAGTGAGTGGGTGAGTTGGTGAATGGATGGGTTAGTCAGTGAGTGAATGAGTGATTGCGTGAGTGAATGAGCGAGCGGGTGGGTGAGTGAGTGGGTGAGTGAGTGCGTGAGTGAATTAGTGGGAGAGTGAGTGAGTGGGTGGATGAGTGATTGCGTGATTGCGTGAGTGGGTGAGCGAGTAGGTGAGTGTTTGAGCGTAGCAGCACTTGCCCTGACAGTCTGTTGAGGCTACACTGGGGATCTTTGTGTATGCCTGTATGTCTCTGGAGGTGTTTGACGATGAGGAGTGTGAGTGGGTGGGTGAGTGATTGCGTGAGTGAGTGAGTGAGCGGGTGAGCGAGTGGGTGAGTGTGTGAGCGTAACAGCACTTGCCCTGACGGTCTGTTGAGGCTACACTGGGGATCTTTGTGTATGCCTGTATGTCTCTGGAGGTGTTTGACGATGAGGAGTGTGAGTGGGTGGGTGAGTGATTGCGTGAATGAGTGAGCGGGTGAGCGAGTGGGTGAGTGTGTGAGCGTAACAGCACTTGCCCTGACGGTCTGTTGAGGCTACACTTGGGATCTTTGTGTATGCCTGTATGTCTCTGGAGGTGTTTGACGATGAGGAGAGTGAGTGCCGAACTCCTGAGGAGTGGCTGTCTCTGGGTCTCGATTCGGAATCTGGAATCCGCAAGCCCGTTCCGGCCCGGGCTTTCCTCCCATTGGACGAGAAGAGCAAATCTGGTGAGGATGGACACACACACAGACAGAAAGATACAACAACAACCACCGCCATTCGCTGATAAGTAGCGATGACGTCACCACGACGCTTGTGCCAGGCCATGTGCACCTTTGAGGCCACGTGAAGTGTCGAACGCCCGCTGGCAGGAGGTCACGGGGCAGACCCAGGTGCCACGGGTCGACTGACTGAGATGACTGGCTGATACACCACCTGTGCCCCCTACTGTGCCAACCTGCTGTGCTTTAGCCACCCGGCGCTCCGCTCGTTGTTCTGAGCGTCGCTCCTCTGCCGGAGGGCGACTGCTTCCAACTGCCCAGTAGCGTCCTTCACGAGCCTCCTCCACAGAGGCCGATCTTGACACCGCTGGTACCAGTCATCGGCAAGTCCGCTCAGCTCCACGTCCTCCTGTACCACATCACTCCATCTCTTCTCTAGCCCGTGCCACGCCCGTTTTGCCCCCTAGATCTGGTCGAACAAAAGCTGTTTGGGCATGCGGTGGCTGGGCATGCGGGCTACATGACCCAGCCAACGCAGCCTTGCCTGCCGGAGGAGCTCACCGATGGGACTTTGTCCAGATCTTTCGAGGCTTTGTGAGCTCCTCACAAAATCCAGCCTGGTTAAACCCAGGATGGATCGTAGGCAGGCCAGCCTAAATGCTTCTAACCGGCGAAGATGTTCCATTAAGGGGGTCCACGTTTCGCAAGCGTAGAGAAGGGAGGGAATGACCGTGGCCGAGAAGACCCGAAGCTTCGTGCGGAGCGACAGTCCAGGTAGCTTCCGCACAGCGTTACGCAACCGATGAAAAGATATTGCCGCTCGACTGATTCGGAGTGAGACCTCTGCTGTTAAACTGGAGCCGGTCATAAGCACACTGCCCAGGTATGGGAAACTCTCCACTCTCTCCACAACTGCCCCATCACCAATTGGGAGTTGTGGGGGTGGAGTGTCCGATGGTACAAAATACCCAGGCAGGTGCTTAGTTTTGGTGGGGCTGATGGTAAGGCCCCACCTCTTAGTGGCACGCTCCAGTCTCAGCAGTAGCGCCTCCAACTCCTCCTCTGAATGAGCAGCTATTACCAGATCATCGGCATACATACTCGCTTGGGAGTTCATCTCTGCCCGATGCAGACACACACACATACACACACACAGACAGGCACACAGACACACAAATACATAGACAGACACAGACAAACAGACACACATACACACACAGACAGATAGACATTCACAGACACAGACAGATAGACACAGAACAGTCATACAGAGATAGACTGCCTGTGACTATTGCCTGTATCTCTGGCTGTGTAGCGATGTCCTGACTGTGGGCGTGCTGGACTAAGATGTATATCTCTCTCTCACCGTGTCCCTCTCTCCATGTCTCTCTCTCACTGTCTCTCTGTCTGTCAGTCTCTCTGTCCGCGTCTCTGTGTCTATGTAGCGATGTCCTGGGTGTCTGTGGGCGTGCTGGACTACGAACACTCCTAGCGGCTCTACCTGGTGTCTCTCTCTCTCCGTGTTCCTCACCCATTGTCACCGTGTCTCTCTCTCTCCATGTCTCTCTCTCACTGTCTCTCTGTCTGTCAGTCTCTCTGTCCGCGTCTCTGTGTCTGTGTAGCGATATCCTGGCTGTCCGTGGGCGTGCTGGACTAAGATGTATATCTCTCTCACCGTGTCCCTCTCTCCATGTCTCTCTCACTGTCTCTCTGTCTGTCTCTGTCTGTCTCTCTGTCTGTCTCTCTGTCTGTGTCTGTGTAGCGATGTCCTGGGTGTCCGTGGGCGTGCTGGACTACGAACACTCCACGCGGCTCTACCTGGTGTCTCTCTCTCTCCGTGTTCCTCACCCATTGTCACCGTGTCTCTCTCTCCATGTCTCTCTCTCACTGTCTCTCTTTCTGTCTCTGTCTGTCTCTCTGTCTGTGTAGCGATGTCCTGGGTGTCCGTGGGGGTGCTGGACTACGAACACTCCACGCGGCTGTACCTGGTGTCTCTCTCTCCGTGTTCCTCCCCCATTGTCACCGTGTCTCTCTCTCTCTCTCTGTCTCTCTCTCTCTGTCTGTCTGTCTCTCTGTCTGTGTAGCGATGTCCTGGGTGTCCGTGGGGGTGCTGGACTAAGATGTATATCTCTCTCTCACCGTGTCCCTCTCTCTCCATGTCTCTCTCTCACTGTCTCTCTGTCTGTCTCTCTGTCTGTGTCTGTGTAGCGATGTCCTGGGTGTCCGTGGGCGTGCTGGACTACGACCACTCCACGCGGCTGTACCTGGTGTCTCTGTCTCTGTCTGTCTCTCTGTCTGTCTCTCTGTCTGTGTAGCGATGTCCTGGGTGTCCGTGGGCGTGCTGGACTATGACCACTCCACGCGGCTGTACCTGGTGCAGCGCGCCGATGCCAACGGCCGTGTCCGTTTGGCCCCCAAGGGTGAGCTAATCAAGCGGCCCTCGATCCATCACTTTTGATAATATAATGAAGGAATCGCTGTTTCATATCACAGCACCCTTCACTCGCTCACCCACCCGCTCACCCACTCACTCACCCACTCACCCACTCACCCACTCACCCACTCACTCACTCACCCACACACTTACCCACTCACTCACCCACCGACTCACCCACTCACCCACTCACTCACCCACCCACTCACTCACCCACCCACCCACTCACTCACTCACCCCACCCACTCACACACTCACCACTCACTCACTCACCCACTCACCCACTCACTCACTCACTCACCCACACACTTACCCACTCACTCACCCACCCACTTACCCACTCACTCACCCACCCACTCACCCACCCACTCACCCACTCACCCACTCACTCACTCACCACACCCACTCACACACTCACCACTCGCTCACTCAGCCACTCACCCACCCACTCACCCACTTACCCACTCACTCACTCATCAACCCACTTCCACCCACTCACCCACTCACTCATCCATTCACCCACTAACCCATCCACACACTCACCCACTCACTCACCAACCCACTTCCACTCACTCACTCACCACTCACTCTACCACACACTTACCCACTCACTCACACACTCACTCACTCAACTCACTCACCCACACACCCACTCACTCATTCACCCACTCTCTCACTCAACTCACTCACCCACCCACTCACTCCCCCACCTACTCTCCCACCCACTCACACACTCACCCACTCACTCACTCACTCACCCACCCACTCACCCACTCACTCACTCACCCACTCACACACTCACCCACTCACCCACTCACTCACCCACTCACGCACTCACTCACCCACTCACTCACTCACCCACTCACCCACTCACTCACTCACTCACCCACTCACTCACCCACCCACTCACTCACTCACTCACCCACCCACTCACCCACTCACTCACCCACACACTCACCCACACAATCACCCACTCCATCACTCAACCACCCACTCACTCACCCACTCACTCACTCACCCACTCACTCACTCACCCACACACTCACTCCCCCACCTACTCTCCCACCCACTCACCCACTCACCCACCCACTCACTCACCCACCCACTCACCCACTCACCCACCCACCCACTCACCCACTCACTCACTCACTCACCCACTCACTCACCCACTCACTCACCCACCCACTCACCCACTCACTTACCCACTCACTCACCCACCCACTCACCCACCCACTCACCCACTCACTCACTCACCCCACCCACTCACACACCCACTCACCCACTCACTCACCCACCCACCCACTCACTTACCCACCCACTCACCCACCCACTCACCCACCCACTCACCCACTCACTCACTCACCCCACCCACTCACACACCCACTCACCCACTCACTCACTCACCCACCCACTCACCCACCCACTCACCCACTCACTCACTCACCCACCCCCCCACCCACCCACCCCACCCCACCACCCCCACCCCCACCCCCCCCCCACCCCCCCCACCCCCCCACCCCCCCCCCACCCCCCCCCACCCCCCCCACCCCCCCCCACCCCCCCACCCCCCCCCCCCCCAGGTGACCCCCCCCACCCCCCCCACCCCCCCCCCCAGGTGACCCCCCCCACCGAGCGTGGTTGCCCCGCGTGTTGGTGGCGTTCCACGCGGAGGATCCTCGCCGCTTTGCCGCCCGCGTCGCCCGTGCCGTGGCGTGTCGCCGCGACGCCCAGGTGGCGCTGCTACACTGCCTGGCCCTTGACTGCGTGCCGCAGCCACGCCCCTCGTCACCGCGGCCACCCACGGCAGCCGGGATGGGGGTCGCGGCGGAGGGCGGTGGCTTGGACGGGGAGATGCGGGCACGCGTGACGTCACGCGTGGGGGCACTCGTGGGCAGAGCCGGGTGAGGCGGAGAGAGAGACACGGGGAGATGGAGAGAGACACGGGGAGAGAGACACGGGGAGAGAGACACGGGGAGAGAGACACGGGGAGAGAGAGACGGAGAGAGACACAGAGAGAGATGGAGAGAGACACGGAGAGAGAGACACGGGGAGAGAGACACGGGGAGAGAGACACGGGGAGATGGAGAGAGACACGGGGAGAGACACGGAGAGAGACGGGGAGAGAGACACGGAGAGAGAGACACGGAGAGAGAGACACGGAGAGACACGGAGAGAGAGACACGGGGAGAGAGACACGGGGAGATGGAGAGAGACACAGAGAGAGACACAGAGAGAGAGACACAGAGAGAGAGACACGGGGAGAGAGACACGGGGAGATGCGGGCACGCGTGACGTCACGCGTCGGGGCACTCGTGGGCAGAGCCGGGTGAGGCGGAGAGAGAGACACGGGGAGATGGAGAGAGACACGGGGAGAGACACGGAGAGAGAGACACGGGGAGATGGGGAGAGACACGGGGAGAGAGACACGGGGAGATGGAGAGAGACACGGGGAGAGATGGAGAGAGAGAGACACGGAGAGAGAGACACGGGGAGAGAGACACGGGGAGAGACACGGGGAGAGAGACACGGAGAGAGACGGGGAGAGAGACACGGGGAGAGACACGGGGAGAGAGACACGGGGAGAGACACGGGGAGAGAGACACGGGGAGAGACACAGAGAGAGATGGAGAGAGACACGGAGAGAGAGACACGGAGAGAGAGACACGGGGGGAGAGACACGGGGGGAGAGACACGGGGAGAGAGAGACGGAGAGAGAGACACAGAGAGAGAGAGACACGGGGAGATGGAGAGAGACACGGAGAGAGAGACACGGAGAGACACGGAGAGAGAGACACGGAGAGACACAGAGAGAGACACGGAGAGAGAGACACGGAGAGAGAGACACGGGGAGAGAGAGACGGAGAGAGAGACACGGAGAGAGAGACACGGAGAGAGACACGGGGAGAGACACGGAGAGATGGAGAGAGACACGGAGAGAGAGACACGGAGAGAGAGACACGGTGAGAGAGACACGGAGAGAGACACGGAGAGAGAGACACGGGGAGAGAGACACGTAGAGAGACACGGAGAGAGAGACACACGGAGAGAGACACAGAGAGAGACACGGAGAGAGAGACACGGGGAGATGGAGAGAGACACGGAGAGAGAGACACGGGGAGAGACACAGAGAGAGAGAGACACAGAGAGAGACACGGAGAGAGACACGGAGAGAGAGAGACACGGGGAGAGAGACACGGAGAGAGACACGGAGAGAGAGACACGGAGAGAGAGACACAGAGAGAGACACGGAGAGAGAGACACGGGGAGAGAGACATGGGGAGAGAGACACGGAGAGAGACACGGAGAGAGAGACACAGGGAGAGAGAGACGGGGAGAGAGACACGTAGAGAGACACGGAGAGAGAGACACGGGGAGAGAGAGACGGAGAGAGAGACACAGAGAGAGACACGGGGAGAGAGACACGGGGAGAGACACGGGGAGAGAGACACGGGGAGAGACACGGAGAGAGACACGGGGAGAGAGACACGGGGAGATGGAGAGAGACACGGAGAGAGACACGGGGAGAGACACAGAGAGAGACACGGGGAGAGAGACACGGAGAGAGATACGGGGAGAGAGACACCGGGAGAGACACGGACAGAGACACGGGGAGAGAGACACGGAGAGAGAGACACGGAGAGAGACACGGGGAGAGAGACACGGGGAGAGACACCCACGCGGAGAGAGACACGGAGAGAGACACGGGGAGAGAGACACTGGGAGAGAGACACGGGGAGAGAGACACAGAGAGAGAGACACGGAGAGAGACACGGGGAGATGGAGAGAGACACGGAGAGAGAGACACAGAGAGAGAGACAACGGGAGAGAGACACGGAGAGAGACACGGAGAGAGACACGGAGAGAGAGACACGGAGAGATACGGAGAGAGAGACACGCGGAGAGACACGGGGAGAGAGACATGGAGAGAGAGACACGGAGAGAGACACGGGGAGAGACACGGAGAGAGAGACACGGGGAGAGAGACACGGGGAGATGGAGAGAGACACGGGGAGAGAGACACGGAGAGAGACACAGAGAGAGACACGGAGAGAGAGACACGGAGAGAGAGACACGGAGAGAGACACGGGGAGATACACGGGGAGAGAGACACGGCGAGAGAGACATGGGGAGAGAGACATGGAAAGAGAGACACGTAGAGAGACACTGGGAGAGAGACACAGGGAGAGAGAGACGGGGAGAGAGACACGTAGAGAGACACGGAGAGAGAGACACAGAGAGATGGAGAGAGACACGGAGAGAGAGACACGGAGAGAGACACGGGAAGAGAGACACAGGGAGAGAGAGACGGGGAGAGAGACACGTAGAGAGACACGGAGAGAGAGACACAGGGAGAGAGAGACGGAGAGAGAGACACGTAGAGAGACACGGAGAGAGAGACACGGGGAGAGAGAGACGGAGAGAGAGACACACACAGAGAGAGATACGGGGAGATAGACACGGGGAGAGAGACACAGAGAGATATGGAGAGAGAGACACAGAGAGAGACACAGAGAGAGAGACACAGAGAGAGAGACACGGGGAGAGAGACACGGGGAGATGCGGGCACGCGTGACGTCACGCGTCGGGGCACTCGTGGGCAGAGCCGGGTGAGGCGGAGAGAGAGACACGGGGAGATGGAGAGAGACACGGGGAGATGGAGAGAGACACGGGGAGAGACACGGAGAGAGAGACACGGGGAGATGGGGAGAGACACGGGGAGAGAGACACGGGGAGATGGAGAGAGACACGGGGAGAGATGGAGAGAGAGAGACACGGAGAGAGAGACACGGGGAGAGAGACACGGGGAGAGATACAGGGAGAGAGACACGGAGAGAGACGGGGAGAGAGACCCGGGGAGAGACACGGGGAGAGAGACACGGGGAGAGACACGGGGAGAGAGACACGGGGAGAGACACAGAGAGAGAGGGAGAGAGACACGGAGAGAGAGACACGGAGAGAGAGACACGGGGAGAGAGACACGGGGGGAGAGACACGGGGAGAGAGAGACGGAGAGAGAGACACAGAGAGAGAGAGACACGGGGAGATGGAGAGAGACACGGAGAGAGAGACACGGAGAGACACGGAGAGAGAGACACGGAGAGACACAGAGAGAGACACGGAGAGAGAGACACGGAGAGAGAGACACGGAGAGAGAGAGACGGAGAGAGAGACACGGAGAGAGAGACACGGAGAGAGACACGGGGAGAGACACGGAGAGATGGAGAGAGACACGGAGAGAGAGACACGGAGAGAGAGACACGGTGAGAGAGACACGGAGAGAGACACGGAGAGAGAGACACGGGGAGAGAGACACGGAGAGAGACACGGAGAGAGAGACACACGGAGAGAGACACAGAGAGAGACACGGAGAGAGAGACACGGGGAGATGGAGAGAGACACGGAGAGAGAGACACGGGGAGAGACACAGAGAGAGAGAGACACAGAGAGAGACACGGAGAGAGACACGGAGAGAGAGAGACACGGGGAGAGAGACACGGAGAGAGACACGGAGAGAGAGACACGGAGAGAGAGACACAGAGAGAGACACGGAGAGAGAGACACGGGGAGAGAGACATGGGGAGAGAGACACGGAGAGAGACACGGGGAGAGAGACACAGGGAGAGAGAGACGGGGAGAGAGACACGTAGAGAGACACGGAGAGAGAGACACGGGGAGAGAGAGACGGAGAGAGAGACACAGAGAGAGACACGGGGAGATAGACACGGGGAGAGACACGGGGAGAGAGACACGGGGAGAGACACGGAGAGAGACACGGGGAGAGAGACACGGGGAGATGGAGAGAGACACGGAGAGAGACACGGGGAGAGACACAGAGAGAGACACGGGGAGAGAGACACGGAGAGAGATACGGGGAGAGAGACACCGGGAGAGACACGGACAGAGACACGGGGAGAGAGACACGGAGAGAGAGACACGGAGAGAGACACGGGGAGAGAGACACGGGGAGAGACACCCACGCGGAGAGAGACACGGAGAGAGACACGGGGAGAGAGACACTGGGAGAGAGACACGGGGAGAGAGACACAGAGAGAGAGACACGGAGAGAGACACGGGGAGATGGAGAGAGACACGGAGAGAGAGACACAGAGAGAGAGACAACGGGAGATAGACACGGAGAGAGACACGGAGAGAGACACGGAGAGAGAGACACGGAGAGATACGGAGAGAGAGACACGCGGAGAGACACGGGGAGAGAGACATGGAGAGAGAGACACGTAGAGAGACACGGGGAGAGACACGGAGAGAGAGACACGGGGAGAGAGACACGGGGAGATGGAGAGAGACACGGGGAGAGAGACACGGAGAGAGACACAGAGAGAGACACGGAGAGAGAGACACGGAGAGAGAGACACGGAGAGAGACACGGGGAGATACACGGGGAGAGAGACACGGCGAGAGAGACATGGGGAGAGAGACATGGAAAGAGAGACACGTAGAGAGACACTGGGAGAGAGACACAGGGAGAGAGAGACGGGGAGAGAGACACGTAGAGAGACACGGAGAGAGAGACACAGAGAGATGGAGAGAGACACGGAGAGAGAGACACGGAGAGAGACACGGGAAGAGAGACACAGGGAGAGAGAGACGGGGAGAGAGACACGTAGAGAGACACGGAGAGAGAGACACAGGGAGAGAGAGACGGAGAGAGAGACACGTAGAGAGACACGGAGAGAGAGACACGGGGAGAGAGAGACGGAGAGAGAGACACACACAGAGAGAGATACGGGGAGATAGACACGGGGAGAGACACGGGGAGAGAGACACGGGGAGAGAGACACGGAGAGAGACACGGAGAGAGAGACACGGAGAGATACGGAGAGAGAGACACGGGGAGAGACACGGGGAGAGAGACATGGAGAGAGAGACACGTAGAGAGACACGGGGAGAGACACGGAGAGAGAGACACGGGGAGAGAGACACGGGGAGATGGAGAGAGACACGGGGAGAGAGACACGGGGAGAGAGACACAGAGATATGGAGAGAGACACAGAGAGAGACACGGGGAGAGAGACACGGAGAGAGACAAGGGGAGAGAGACACAGAGAGATACGGAGAGAGAGAGACACGGAGAGAGAGAGAGACACGGAGAGAGAGACACGGAGAGATGGAGAGAGACACGGAGAGAGAGACACGGAGAGACACAGGGAGAGAGACACGGGGAGATGGAGAGAGACACGGGGAGAGAGACACGGAGAGAGACACAGAGAGAGACACGGAGACAGAGACACGGAGAGAGACACGGGGAGATACACGGGGAGAGAGACACGGGGAGAGAGACATGGGGAGAGAGACATGGAGAGAGAGACACGGAGAGAGACATGGGGAGAGAGACACAGGGAGAGAGAGACGGGGAGAGAGACACGTAGAGAGACACGGAGAGAGAGACACGGAGAGATGGAGAGAGACACGGAGAGAGAGACACGGAGAGAGAGACACGGAGAGAGACACGGGAAGAGAGACACAGGGAGAGAGAGACGGGGAGAGAGACACGTAGAGAGACACGGAGAGAGAGACACGGGGAGAGAGAGACGGAGAGAGAGACACAGAGAGAGAGACACGGAGAGAGAGACACAGAGAGAGAGACACGGAGAGACACGGGGAGAGACACGGAGAGAGAGACACGGGGAGATGGAGAGAGACACGGAGAGAAACACGGAGAAAGAGACATGGGGAGAGAGACATGGGGAGAGAGACACGGGGAGAGAGATGGGGAGAGAGACACGGGGAGAGACACAGAGAGAGAGACACGGAGAGACACGGAGAGAGAGACACGGGGAGATGGAGAGAGACACGGGGAGAGAGACACGGGGAGAGAGACACGGAGAGAGACACGGAGAGAGACACGGAGAGAGAGACACTGGGAGAGACACGGGGAGAGAGACACGGGGAGACACGGGGAGAGAGACACGGAGAGAGACATGGAGAGAGAGACACGGGGAGAGACACGGGGAGAGAGAGACACGGAGAGAGACACTGAGAGAGAGACACGGAGAGAGACACGGGGAGAGACACGGAGAGAGAGACCCGGAGAGACACGGAGAGAGAGACACGGAGCGAGAGACACGGAGAGATGGAGAGAGACACGGAGAGAGACATGAGGAGATAGAGAGAGACACGGAGAGACTGTATGAGTGAGTGTCTGTATGAGTGAGTGTCTGTCTGAGTGAGTGTATGAGTGAGTGTCTGTGTGTGTGAGTGTATGAGTGAGTGTCTGTGTGAGTGAGTGTTTGAGTGAGTGTCTGTGTGTGTGAGTGTATGAGTGAGTGTATGAGTGAGTGTCTGTGTGAGTGTCTGTATGAGTGAGTGTATGTGTGAGTGTCTGTGTGTGTGAGTGTATGAGTGAGTGTATGAGTGTGTCTGTGTGAGTGAGTGTGTGAGTGAGTGTCTGTGTGAGTGTCTGTATGAGTGAGTGTATGAGTGAGTGTCTGTATGTATGTATGAGTGAGTGTCTGTCTGAGTGAGTGTATGAGTGAGTGTCTGTGTGTGTGAGTGTATGAGTGAGTGTCTGTGTGAGTGAGTGTTTGAGTGAGTGTCTGTGTGTGTGAGTGTATGAGTGAGTGTATGAGTGAGTGTCTGTGTGAGTGTCTGTATGAGTGAGTGTATGAGTGAGTGTCTGTGTGTGTGAGTGTATGAGTGAGTGTATGAGTGTGTCTGTGTGAGTGAGTGTGTGAGTGAGTGTCTGTGTGAGTGAGTGTATGAGTGAGTGTATGAGTGAGTGTCTGTGTGAGTGATTGTCTGTGTGAGTGTCTGTATGAGTGATCCTGTGAGTGTCTGTGTGAGTGACTGTATGAGTGATCCTGTGAGTGTATGAGTGAGTGTCTGTGTGAGTGAGTGAGTGTCTGTGTGAGTGTCTGTGTGAGTGTCTGTGTGAGTGTTTGTGTGAATGTCTGTATGAGTGATCCTGTGAGTGTCTGTGTGAGTGACTGTATGAGTGATCCTGTGAGTATATGAGTGAGTGACTGTATGTATGAGTGACTGTGTGAGTCTGTGTGAGTGACTGTGTGAGTGAGTGACTGTATGAGTGTCTGCGTGAGTGAGTGTATGAGTGTATGAGTGAGTGTGTGAGTGTCTGTGTGAGTGAGTGTATGAGTGAGTGTATGAGTGAGTGTCTGTGTGAGCGTCTGTGTGAGTGAGTGACTGTGTGAGTGAGTGTATGAGTGAGTGTCTGTGTGAGTGTCTGTGCGAGTGAGTGTCTATGTGAATGAGTGAGTGTGTTAGTGTCTGTGTGAGTGAGTGTATGAGTGAGTGTATGAGTGAGTGTATGAGTGAATGTATGAGTGTATGAGTGAGTGTATGAGTGAGTGAGTGTATGAGTGTATGAGTGAGTGTATGCGTGGGTGTATGAGTGAGTGTCTGTGTGAGTGAGTGTATGAGTGAGTGAGTGTATGAGTGTATGAGTGAGTGTATGAGTGAGTGAGTGTATGAGTGAGTGAGTGTGTGAGTGAGTGAGTGTATGAGTGAGTCTATGAGTGACTCTATAAGTGAGTGTATGTGTCTGTGTTGTTGATGATGTTTCAGGCTGGAGTGGTGCGTGGAGCGTCTCTGGCTGGAGGTCTCCGTTCAGCACGTGTGAGTGTGTGTCTGTGTGAGTGTGTGAGTGAGTGTCTGTGTATGTGAGTGTATGAGTGAGTGAGTGTATGAGTGAGTGTGTGAGTGAGTGAGTGTATGAGTGAGTGTATGAGTGAGTGTCTGTGTGAGTGACTGTATGAGTGAGTGTGTGAGTGAGTGAGTGTATGAGTGAGTCTATAAGTGAGTGTATGTGTCTGTGTTGTTGTTGATGTTTCAGGCTGGAGTGCTGCGTGGAGCGTCTCTGGCTGGAGGTCTCCGTTCAGCACGTGTGTGTGTCTGTGTGAGTGAGTATATGAGTGAGTGTATGAGTGAGTGTATGAGTGAGTCTGTGAGTGTCTGTGTGAGTGAGTGAGTGTATGTGTCTGTGTTGTTGTTGTTGATGTTTCAGGCTGGAGTGGTGCGTGGAGCGTCTCTGGCTGGAGGTCTCCGTTCAGCACGTGTGAGTGTGTGTCTGTGTGAGTGAGTGACTGTGTGAGTGTGTGAGTGAGTGTCTGTGTGTGTGAGTGTCTGTGTGAATGAGTGTATGAGTGAGTGTGTGAGTGAGTGTATGAGTGAGTGTATGAGTGAGTGTATGAGTGAGTCTGTGAGTGTATGAGTGAGTCTGTGAGTGTCTGTGTGAGTGAGTGAGTGTATGTGTCTGTGTTGTTGTTGTTGATGTTTCAGGCTGGAGTGCTGCGTGGAGCGTCTCTGGCTGGAGGTCTCCGTTCAGCACGCCGGGGCGCTCAGCCGCCTGCAGTTCCACCGCCTCGTGGCCTCGTCACCGCAGCGTTTCCCCTTCATCAGCACGCCGGCGGAGCCGCCAGAGCCGGTGGCACCGCTCGCTCACACCGCAGGTGAGTGAGTGAGTGGGTGAGTGAGTGTGTGGGTGAGTGAGTGGGTGAGTGGGTGGGTGAGTGGGTGAGTGGGTGGGTGAGTGGGTGGGTGAGTGGGTGAGTGGGTGGGTGAGTGGGTGAGTGAGTGGGTGGGTGAGTGAGTGGGTGGGTGAGTGGGTGGGTGGGAGAGTGAGTGGGTGGGTGGGTGAGTGGGTGGGTGAGTGGGTGAGTGAGTGGGTGGGTGAGTGAGTGAGTGGGTGAGTGGGTGGGTGAGTGGGTGGGTGGGTGAGTGAGTGAGTGAGTGGGTGAATGGCTGGGCGTGTGGGTGGGTGAGTGGGTGAGTGGCTGGGTGAGTGGCTGGGTGAGTGGGTGAGTGGGTGGGTGAGTGGGTGGGTGCGTGGGTGAGTGGGTGGGTGAGTGGGTGGGTGAGTGGGTGAGTGGGTGGGTGAGTGAGTGGGTGGGAGAGTGGGTGGGTGGGTGAGTGGGTGGGTGGGTGAGTGAGTGGGTGGGTGAGTGGGTGGGTGAGTGAGTGGGTGGGTGGGTGAGTGGGTGGGTGAGTGGGTGAGTGGGTGGGTGAGTGGGTGGGTGAGTGAGTGTGTGGGTGGGTGAGTGGGTGGGTGAGTGAGTGGGTGGGAGAGTGAGTGGGTGGGTGAGTGAGTGGGTGAGTGAGTGGGTGGGTGGGTGAGTGAGTGAGTGGGTGAGTGAGTGTGTGGGTGAGTGAGTGGGTGGGTGAGTGGGTGAGTGGCTGGGTGAGTGGCTGGGTGAGTGGGTGAGTGGGTGGGTGAGTGGGTGGGTGCGTGGGTGAGTGGGTGGGTGAGTGGGTGGGTGAGTGGGTGAGTGGGTGGGTGAGTGAGTGGGTGGGAGAGTGGGTGGGTGGGTGAGTGGGTGGGTGGGTGAGTGAGTGGGTGGGTGAGTGGGTGGGTGGGTGAGTGAGTGGGTGGGTGGGTGAGTGGGTGGGTGAGTGGGTGAGTGGGTGGGTGAGTGGGTGGGTGATTGAGTGTGTGGGTGGGTGAGTGGGTGGGTGAGTGAGTGGGTGGGAGAGTGAGTGGGTGGGTGAGTGAGTGGGTGAGTGAGTGGGTGGGTGGGTGAGTGAGTGAGTGGGTGAGTGAGTGTGTGGGTGAGTGAGTGGGTGGGTGAGTGGGTGAGTGGGTGGGTGAGTGGGTGAGTGGGTGGGTGAGTGGGTGGGTGATTGAGTGTGTGGGTGGGTGAGTGGGTGGGTGAGTGAGTGGGTGGGAGAGTGAGTGGGTGGGTGAGTGGGTGGGTGAGTGAGTGGGTGGGTGAGTGAGTGGGTGGGTGAGTGGGTGGGTGGGTGAGTGAGTGGGTGAGTGAGTGTGTGGGTGAGTGAGTGGGTGGGTGAGTGGGTGAGTGGGTGGGTGAGTGGGTGAGTGGGTGGGTGAGTGGGTGAGTGGGTGGGTGAGTGGGTGGGTGGGTGAGTGGGTGGGTGAGTGAGTGGGTGGGAGAGTGAGTGGGTGGGTGAGTGAGTGGGTGGGTGAGTGAGTGGGTGGGTGAGTGGGTGGGTGAGTGGGTAGGTGAGTGGGTGGGTGGGTGAGTGTGTGGGTGGGTGAGTGGGTGGGTGAGTGAGTGGGTGGGAGAGTGAGTGGGTGGGTGAGTGAGTGGGTGGGTGAGTGAGTGGGTGGGTGAGTGAGTGGGTGGGTGAGTGGGTGAGTGGGTGGGTGAGTGGGTGGGTGGGTGGGTGAGTGTGTGGGTGGGTGAGTGGGTGGGTGGGTGAGTGAGTGGGAGAGTGAGTGGGTGGGTGGGTGAGTGGGTGGGTGAGTGGGTGAGTGGGTGGGTGAGTGGGTGGGTGATTGAGTGTGTGGGTGGGTGAGTGGGTGGGTGAGTGAGTGGGTGGGTTGGGTGAGTGGGTGGGTGAGTGAGTGGGTGGGAGAGTGAGTGGGTGGGAGAGTGAGTGGGTGGGAGAGTGAGTGGGTGGGTGAGTGAGTGAGTGGGTGAGTGGGCGGGTGAGTGAGTGGGTGGGTGGGTGAGTGAGTGAGTGGGTGAGTGAGTGTGTGGGTGAGTGAGTGGGTGGGTGAGTGGGTGAGTGGGTGGGTGAGTGGGTGAGTGGGTGGGTGAGTGGGTGGGTGTTTGTGTGTGTGGGTGGGTGAGTGGGTGGGTGAGTGAGTGGGTGGGAGAGTGAGTGGGTGGGTGAGTGAGTGGGTGGGTGAGTGAGTGGGTGGGTGAGTGAGTGGGTGGGTGAGTGAGTGGGTGAGTGAGTGTGTGGGTGAGTGAGTGGGTGGGTGAGTGGGTGAGTGGGTGGGTGAGTGGGTGAGTGGGTGGGTGAGTGGGTGAGTGGGTGAGTGGGTGAGTGGGTGGGTGGGTGAGTGGGTGGGAGAGTGAGTGGGTGGGTGAGTGAGTGGGTGGGTGAGTGAGTGGTGAGTGGGTGGGTGGGTGGGTGAGTGGGTGAGTGAGTGGGTGGGTGAGTGGGTGGGTGGGTGGGTGAGTGAGTGGGTGGGTGAGTGAGTGGGTGGGTGAGTGGGTGGGTGAGTGGGTGGGTGAGTGAGTGAGTGAGTGGGTGAGTGAGTGTGTGGGTGAGTGAGTGGGTGGGTGAGTGGGTGAGTGGGTGGGTGAGTGGGTGAGTGGGTGGGTGAGTGGGTGGGTGAGTGAGTGTGTGGGTGGGTGAGTGGGTGGCTGAGTGAGTGGGTGGGAGAGTGAGTGGGTGGGTGGGTGAGTGGGTGGGTGAGTGGGTGAGTGAGTGGGTGGGTGAGTGAGTGGGTGGGTGAGTGGGTGGGTGAGTGGGTGGGTGGGTGAGTGAGTGAGTGAGTGGGTGAATGGCTGGGCGTGTGGGTGGGTGAGTGGGTGAGTGGCTGGGTGAGTGGCTGGGTGTGTGGGTGAGTGGGTGGGTGAGTGGGTGGGTGCGTGGGTGAGTGGGTGGGTGAGTGGGTGAGTGAGTGGGTGAGTGAGTGGGTGAGTGAATGAGTGGGTGAGTGGGTGGGTGAGTGGGTGAGTGAGTGGGTGGTTGAGTGGGTGGTTGAGTGGGTGGGTGGGTGAGTGGGTGGGTGAGTGAGTGGGTGGGTGAGTGGGTGAGTGAGTGGGTGAGTGAGTGGGTGAGTGGGTGAGTGGGTGGGTGGGTGGGTGAGTGAGTGAGTGGGTGGGTGAGTGAGTGGGTGAGTGAGTGGGTGGGTTGGGTGAGTGAGTGGGTGGGACAGTGAGTGGGTGGGTGAGTGAGTGGGTGGGTGAGTGGGTGGGTGAGTGAGTGGGTGGGAGAGTGAGTGGGTGGGAGAGTGAGTGGGTGGGTGAGTGAGTGGGTGGGAGAGTGAGTGGGTGGGTGAGTGAGTGTGTGGGTGAGTGAGTGGGTGGGTGAGTGGGTGAGTGGGTGGGTGAGTGGGTGAGTGGGTGGGTGAGTGGGTGGGTGATTGAGTGTGTGGGTGGGTGAGTGGGTGGGTGAGTGAGTGGGTGGGAGAGTGAGTGGGTGGGTGAGTGAGTGGGTGGGTGAGTGAGTGGGTGGGTGAGTGGGTGGGTGGGTGAGTGAGTGGGTGAGTGAGTGTGTGGGTGAGTGAGTGGGTGGGTGAGTGGGTGAGTGGGTGGGTGAGTGGGTGAGTGGGTGAGTGAGTGGGTGGGAGAGTGAGTGGGTGGGTGAGTGAGTGGGTGGGTGAGTGGGTGGGTGAGTGGGTGGGTGGGTGGGTGAGTGGGTGAGTGAGTGGGTGGGTGAGTGGGTGGGTGGGTGGGTGAGTGAGTGGGTGGGTGAGTGAGTGGGTGGGTGAGTGGGTGGGTGAGTGGGTGGGTGAGTGAGTGAGTGAGTGGGTGAGTGAGTGTGTGGGTGAGTGAGTGGGTGGGTGGGTGGGTGAGTGGGTGGGTGAGTGGGTGAGTGGGTGGGTGAGTGGGTGGGTGATTGAGTGTGTGGGTGGGTGAGTGGGTGGCTGAGTGAGTGGGTGGGAGAGTGAGTGGGTGGGTGGGTGAGTGGGTGAGTGAGTGGGTGGGTGAGTGGGTGGGTGAGTGGGTGGGTGAGTGGGTGGGTGGGTGAGTGAGTGCGTGAGTGGGTGAATGGCTGGGAGTGTGGGTGGGTGAGTGGGTGAGTGGCTGGGTGAGTGGCTGGGTGAGTGGGTGAGTGGGTGAGTGAGTGGGTGGGTGCGTGGGTGAGTGGGTGGGTGAGTGGGTGAGTGAGTGGGTGAGTGAGTGGGTGAGTGAATGAGTGGGTGAGTGGGTGGGTGAGTGGGTAAGTGAGTGGGTGGTTGAGTGGGTGGTTGAGTGGGTGGGTGGGTGAGTGGGTGGGTGAGTGAGTGGGTGGGTGAGTGGGTGAGTGAGTGGGTGAGTGAGTGGGTGAGTGGGTGAGTGGGTGGGTGGGTGTGTGAGTGAGTGTGTGGGTGGGTGAGTGAGTGGGTGAGTGAGTGGGTGGGTTGGGTGAGTGAGTGGGTGGGACAGTGAGTGGGTGCGTGAGTGAGTGGGTGGGTGAGTGGGTGGGTGAGTGAGTGGGTGGGAGAGTGAGTGGGTGGGAGAGTGAGTGGGTGGGTGAGTGAGTGGGTGGGAGAGTGAGTGGGTGGGTGAGTGAGTGGGTGGGTGAGTGAGTGGGTGGGTGAGTGGGTGGGTGATTGAGTGTGTGGGTGGGTGAGTGGGTGGGTGAGTGAGTGGGTGGGAGAGTGAGTGGGTGGGTGGGTGAGTGGGTGGGTGAGTGGGTGAGTGAGTGGGTGGGTGAGTGAGTGGGTGGGTGAGTGGGTGGGTGAGTGGGTGGGTGGGTGAGTGAGTGAGTGAGTGGGTGAATGGCTGGGCGTGTGGGTGGGTGAGTGGGTGAGTGGCTGGGTGAGTGGCTGGGTGAGTGGGTGAGTGGGTGGGTGAGTGGGTGGGTGCGTGGGTGAGTGGGTGGGTGAGTGGGTGAGTGAGTGGGTGAGTGAGTGGGTGAGTGAGTGGGTGAGTGAATGAGTGGGTGAGTGGGTGAGTGAGTGGGTGGTTGAGTGGGTGGTTGAGTGGGTGGGTGGGTGAGTGGGTGGGTGAGTGAGTGGGTGGGTGAGTGGGTGAGTGAGTGGGTGAGTGAGTGGGTGAGTGGGTGGGTGGGTGGGTGAGTGAGTGAGTGGGTGGGTGAGTGAGTGGGT